GTATTTCTCTACAATTATGTATGGAATATTATTTATAAATAAAAATGTTTGAAATGTTTTAAATTATCACGATTACCAAATCAATACTTTAGTCCGAAAGGGGCTGCAGACCTGGACGGATTAGGGTGTTACAGCATAAACTAAAAGTTCAAATAACATTTTTAGGATGGGTCAGTCCGGCATCGTATTATCTCTAGATAATATCTGCCCATGTGCGGATGCGAACACACCGTCATTGACTATGAGACTAAGTCAAACATCCAACACACACTAGTCTCACATGCATTAACGATATCCCACTCTCGTTAATACTCGACTATGGACATTTAGATAAATATTTATTTCAAGATGTTAGTCTCATCAGCAGAATAACACTATCTGATAAACATCTTTTAAATATAAATCTAGGAATATAATATTTGTTTACATTAGCATGAGATGTGTAAACATATTATATCTGCCTATATATGATAGGATAACGATGAACAGTTGGCCATCAGGGCACAACTCCAACACTACGAATGACCAAAAGCTCTTCATCATCAGGTCTGACATACTCTTCTTCTTCTTTATCCCATGAAGGGTCAAAAGTATCATCATAGCACTCCACAAGAGTCATGACCTTCTTATTGGGACAATCTTGAGCTATGTGACCATTCCCTTGGCAACGATAACATTTCAGAGTTCGATTGATATTTTGATTGTGCCGAGGTTGATTTTGGATATTTGAGGTAGGGGTTGGAAGTATGGGCTTATGGTGAGAGGAAGGAGCTAGGGAAGGTGAAGGAGATGAAGGGGTGGGGAGCAAAGGTGGATTTGAAGAGGAGATTCTCATTTGGGCAGCCTTGCCTTTTTTGATTTGGCTTTCAACTTTGAGAGCCAGCTTTGTAAGATCGTCAAGAGTGTGGTAGTCTTGAAGTTCCACAGTGTTAGCTATTTGGACATTCAATCCAAATAGATACCTCACAAAAGTTTGTGAATAATCTTCTTGAAGATCACACCTTAATAAGAGTTCCTCGAACTCTCGGTTGTATTCCTCTACAGAACGAGAGCCTTGCCTCAAGTGTTGAAGCTTAGAAAAGTTTTCTCGTATGTAGTTCTCGGGCAGAAACTTCTTCTTCAAGAGTGCTCGCATCTTGTTCCATGAGGTCACCGGGGACTTGTTTTCTCTTCTACGCCTAATGGTGACGTTGGTCCACCATGTTGACGCATACTTTCTGAACTTGAACGCCACGAGTTTGACCTTCTTCTCTTCGGACACATTCTTGAAGTCAAAGACACGTTCAACGGTCTCTAACCATTCAAGAAAGTCATCAAGGTCGTTCTTTCCTTCGAAAGTGGGCATGTCAACCTTGAAATCAGAGGCTGACTTATCTGGATTTCTAGCTCTTATGGTAGCAACAGAACTAGCATCGTTTTCATCTTCACTTTCTTCTGGAGTTTGAACCATACTCAACTTGAATTTAGTGAGCTTTGCCACTTCTTTTACCAAGTATTCAACTTGAGCCTTTAATTCTGCATTTGAAGCAATAAGCTCTTCTTGGGACATGTTTTGAGTTGTGTGAGACATGGTTTAAAAGAACCAGGTGTAGGGAAAGAAGGGTGTTGTTGGTTATGTGAAGAAAATTCCGCAAGGTAAGATAGTCGATTATCTGAGTTTGATAATCGATTATTGATGCTATCAGGATCATGATTGGGAGAGAAAGAGAGAATGAGAGGGAAGTGTTTGTGGTCCTCAAAGAGATGTTCAACAACAAGCTCTGATACCAAATGTTGTACCCGAGACCCGAGGTGGTCTAGGATATCGACTTAAGAAGAGGAAGAAGGAGAGAGGGATGTAGAAATATAGGGGAGGCTGAATTCAGGAGAAATCAAAGGAGAGGGAGAGAAGCATTTATCAAGTGAATAATAAGAGGAATCACACACACTTATCTTCACTCGGGTTAAACTCTAGTATTTAAATAAGGAATCACTTAACTTATTTAATATATCTAGAACCTAAAACTCCCACTTAAGAGAACCACTCTTAAGATATAGAATTAGGATTCAATATATATAATTTAGAAAGAGAGAACTGAGCAAGAAACTTATATAATCACAATATATTTTTACAAGCTGATTAATACAATGAACCAGGGCTGAAATGTATAGGCCATGGAATGGAGAAACAATACAACAAACATGATTACATGATAAATAAAATACAACAAAGGAAACTTCCCACTTCTTTCCTACAAAATAAAACAAATGTTGTGCATGTGTTAATATCCCAAATGAGTTGAATTCTTGGCTAATGATCAGGGATTTGGCATGTATTTTGAGTGGTCTTATGTATGATTTTCGTCTTTAGAGTGGAGGAATAAAGGAAACAACATGGCTTGACTTTTAGTGAGTAATAGGACAAGATATTACTATTCAATCAAAGACTTTTTGCGCAGGCACATGGATGAGGGATTAAGCTTTGTTTTGTATTGTAAAAGTCTTTGATTTTGTTGAATAATAACATGGGAATTTCGTCCATATATAGTGGGAATGGTATGTAGCCAAGTGTGTTCCTAAATGACAAAACCTTTACTGTTAAATCGAAGACCACTTTGGTTTCTAAGTTGAGAGACAGGTTATAATCGATTATCTCTTACTGATAATCGATTAACAAGGTGTGTCTGCTAAACCAAGAATTTTCAGAGGTATCCAGTAGTCGATTGACACTTCAGGATTAATCGATTAACAAGGACTGGCTTTCAAACTGGATATGTTCAGAGATGAGTGATAATCGATTTTCAATTGGGAGATAATCGATTGTGGAGCGTTGCAGGAATATGTTAGGAGAATTCAGAGGGAAGTAATAGTCGATTATCTATGTTGGATAATCGATTATTATGACTTTAAAACAAACTAAGGTTTTATTTTGCCTTTTGTTGTTCACCTTCGGCCTAGGCTTAGAAATGAATAACAAAGAATTTATTTTGGACAGATAAAATGATTTTGGATGTTGTGGGAGAAGGTTTGTGGGTTATGGTTTGGCTTAGGGGGGGTTTTGGGCAGCAAGGGTTATGGTTTGGGCTTTTTGATGGAAAGAAGGAATGAATTCAACCCAATAAGGATTATAACAATTAAGCATTAACTCCTGATTTTGCTTACCTTTTGGTGATGCATGGTGGGTACAACACCTTGTACACTCAAAATGAGTGTTCTTTCTCTCATGCGTATCTTCATGGAATTCCTGCAAATAATGCATAGAAACATTCGCACTAAAGGTCGTTTGTATTAACTCGGTCCCATGATTTCTCCTTTTACAGCAGGGTTTGTGTCGGGGGCTTTCAACGAGGCACAAGGGATGTTTTGGGTATAACACGGGTTCATGGGGTGACTCTTCGGGCCTTGAATATTTGGACTTCATCAAGTTGGAAAGTATGGATGGAGACTGTGCCTGGGGCAGTTAGATAGACGGAATCATCGGAGCAAGAGTGAGTCTCCTTGTATCCATCTCAAATGAATACGAGTTGGTGAAACCATTGTAGGTAACTCTCCGATCATATAACCACGACCTCTCGAGGAGAATGTGACAAGCTCTCATGGGTATCACATCACAACACACGTTGTCATGAAAGGACTGACCAATGCTAAAGGAGACCAAACTACGTGTATTCACATGTATCCCTTCGTTAAGATTCAACCATTGGATCTCATAAGGTCTCGGATGTGGCACCACCTTTAAGTTGAGCTTTTCCACCGCTATTTTAACAACATTGGCACTACTCCCGCTATCAATTATCAATGAACACACCTTATTTTGAATGGTGCATTGAGTATGAAAAATACTCTCTCGAGGTGTGGTATCATCCTGGGCAGCCGCATGACTAATGGTCTATTGAATGACCAAAAGTTCACCTTCTTCGGGGCCGACGATTTCTTCCTCTTTGTTCAGCTCTCCTTGAACCCAAAATGGATTCATTTCTTCCTTTTCACATTCGACAATAGCCATGATCTTCTTGTTTGCGCAGTCACTAGCATAGTGACCAATGCCTTGGCACCGAAAACACTTTTGTTTTCGGCTATTTGATGAGCTCAGTTTTGACAGAGGAGGAGCACTTGGTGAGGAAATAAAATGCACGGTTTTAGGATTTTGAGGGGAAGAGACTGTGGGGTTTTGGGCAGCAGGGGGTGGAATTTGATGTGCTTGGGTAGGAAGAATTGCCACGGCTCAAAGAAGATTTACGCTTCTTGAGTTGGGCTTCCACTTTAAGTGCTAACTTGGTTAACTCTTCAAGGTTCTCAAAGGTTTGCAGCTCCATGGTGTTGGCGATTTGGGTGTTTAGGCCAAAGAGATATCTCACAAAAATTTGCGAGTCATTCTCTTAGAGATCACACCGCATCAAGAGTTCTTCAAACTCTCGGTTGTATTCTTCGATGGACCGATTTCCTTGCCTTAGGTGTTGAAGCCTAGCAAAGTTTTCCCTTATATAATGGGTGGAAATGAATTTCCTTTTCAATAAAGTCCTCATCTTGGTCCATATTTTAACAGCAACCTTGCCTTCTCTTTTGCGCTTTGTGGTAGTGTTAGTCCACCACGTAGATGCGTAGCCTCTGAATTTTAAGGCCACAAACTCGACCTTCTTGTCCTTCGGCACTTCGGTATAGTCGAAGATGCGTTCAATCATCTCAAACCATTCGATGAAATCATCCGGGTCATCTTTTCCATCGAAGGTTGGCATTTCAACCTTGAAGTCAGAGGTAGACTTCTCTTGGTTGCAGGGGTGAGCATGGTAAGGTATGGTACGGTATTTAGCTTGTACCGATACCGTACCAAATATTTTGGGTCGGTATGGGATTTTACTCTGTACCAATCCCGATCCCGAAATATCGGTTCAGTATGGTTCGAATGGTTCGGTATCGGTTTCGGTACAAATCGGAATGAATATACACACCTACTTTACACCTTAAAATTTAACAACGCCCCTTTATTTTTGAAAATTAAAAGTGAATTTAAATAAAAAAACATGACAAATTAAAAAAATGAATATTTAAATGCAAGAGATACGAATCAAAACTTAGTTTATATTTCATAAACTAAAAAAATGAACGATAACAAAGGAGTACTTCACAAATTTGTGAATACTTTTATGTTCATACACAAAAAACTAAAACTCAAAAAAAAGTATAATTTACACATAATAGAACTTGAACCAATCTTTTTAGAATTATTATTTAGTAAAAGAATATAAAAATATTACTCTGGTGTATTATTTTTTATAATATTTTTGTATATATGTTTGGTTCAGGATTTTCTGTATGGGACATCACCTCGTTCCGTTCCCAAATACCATACCGACCATTCGGTTCGGTACGGTTCGGTTCCTTCTCGGTACTTTTTTGGTTCAGTATTTTTCCGTTCGGTATTCTCGGTTTTTTTTTGGAAAATTTTGGTATCGGTTCGGTACTTGCTCACCCCTACTTGGTTGCTTCTCCTCATGGTGGGAGAAGGAACTTCGGATTGGACGTCCTCTTCTTGCTCATCTTCCCTTTCCTCTGGAGTTTGGACCATGCTCATTTTCAACTTGGTAAGTTGAGCCACTTGTTTGGCCAAATACTCAACTTGAGCTTTGAGTCCGGCATTAGATGCAACCAAATCTTCCTTGGTGATATTTTGGGAGGTGTGATACATATTTTGAACTAGGGAGTGAAAGAATGAAAGTAGCGTAGTAGCTTGGATGAAGGAAATGGGGAGGGGAGAGTGTTTTGGCCGTAATGAGGATGAAGGAAAGGAGAAAGAGTGGAAGAGTATTCTTGGTCCTTTGGGATGAAGGAACTAGAAGCTCTAATACCAGATGTTATACCCGAGATCAGGGGTATAAACGAGTTGCTATTTTGAAAAGGAGTTAAGGGATGATGCAGCTTGAGTTCAAGGTTCAGGAGCAGGTGATAATCGATTATGGTAAGGTGTTAATCGATTGTAGAGCTGTGCTGCTAAAACCTAGAAACTTCAGGGAAGGGAGATAGTCGGTTATCAGTATATGATAATCGATTATTGGGGTTCGTAGCTTATTCCAAGGGAGTTCAGGAGGGAACAATAGTCGATTATCCTTGTTGATAGTCGATTATCAAGGCAGTCAGGACCCAAAATCTAGGTGGAAAATATGGAGGAGATGAAGGTGTTCTTTTGGGTGTTTTTAGTGGGAGAAAATAGTAAGGTTATAAGGAGAAATGGGGAGATAAGAAATGGAAGAAAAAATCAGGGATGGATAAACAAAGTTGGTGTTTAAGAGATATTACACACTTATATCCTAACTTGGGGTATGAATCTAGAATTTAATTAAGATATGACACACTTAATCAAATAGCTAGAACCTAAAACTCACACTTATGATAAACACTCTTAAGATATAGAACTAGGAATTTTGCTAAAATAGTATCACACTATTTTATAAATACTCAAAGAGTAAAAGGGAGTTTTAATATTCAAAGTTGTGTGTTACAATGGCCATATGGCCTGATTATGTAGGCAGGGGAAGGGGGGAAGGAAAACACAATACACAGAATGTAGACCTAAAGAAACTTCCTGGAAGCAACTATTTCAAAAACATGGGATAATACCCATTTATACTTGTCTGGACTGAAATCAGAGATGGATGCCTGGGATTG